CGGGGGAGGCTCATGGGCGAGGATGCCATTTCCCTGGCTGAGTCCATCAATCTGGAAGGTCAGCTCCTCCACTGGGAAGATCAAGTGGTGTCTTTTGATAACAAAAAAAAAAAAAGACTTGTCATGTGCAAAGGAGGACTACTTTTTTGTGCATGGCTTCACTCTTTTTAGTTCCTTTCATTTTGGTCTCATTTAATGATTTCATTGATTCACTATCCATTTGATTTCATTTATTTCATTTTTTTAAATTTGGAAGCTGAGCTTATTATCTTTTAATTTATTTGGAGGTGGATTTTTTTGATTGATTGAATCTTTTCAAATCCATTCATTTTGTTCATTTCATTCAAAAGTGGCTTCACTCTTTTTGGATCACTTTATTTGTAAATTAAGATCATTCATTTGAAGATGAGTCGCCATTTCCTTATTGTTTTTATTTGTTCAGATGTCTTTCACTCATGTCAATTATTTCTTAATTCAGCAATTTGCCTTTGAAGATGGCGTAACTATTTTATATTATTTCTTTTTAATTCATTCATTTTATTCGAGGATAGTTCATTCGTTACTTGATCCAACTTGATTATAATTTTGTGAATTACCGGAGCCCGGTCAGATCCGTGAGCTGCCAGTAATCCGAGAATATTCTTGACAGTTTGAAAAACGGAATTTGATTTCCATAAATTGGCAACACTGCGATGGGCTTTTCTGTTTTCCACCTTTCTTACCATCTTTGTTTGCATTTGTGAACCCCTGCATGTTTCTTCCACAACACACCCGGACGTCTTTACTTCTAGAGAAACTTTGAGCCAGGGATATAGCGACACAACAAAATTCAGAGTTGAAATAAAATTGATTTAAAAAAGTAAGTCATTTTCTATCTATGGTCCCCACCCAATGAATGTAATGTGTCCTCCAGATGCTCATTATTCTTTGCTGCGAGGCGAGTTAGAGTGCGACGGTCAAAGCCTGGAAGCCGAGTCCTGGAGCGCGGCAGCCGACCCGGACTACCTGAGAGATCTGGACCGAGGGGCCATCAAAAGACAGGATGTCATCTACGGTGCGCCCAACGTCCCAACACCCGACCGCGTTCATTCTCGCCGGGGTTACGCATTGTAATGGATGTGCTATTTCAGAAGCAGTGACCACGGTGCTCTTTATCTTTTCACTTACGATGATTGTAAATGACATGAGGGCGACGGTGCTTGTAATTATAATAATTACGCTATGTAACATGTTTTCGTAAACTCGCATGGCCTATGATTACGAAGATCCCGATGTCGCTGTACCGTAAAAGAAAAATTGTAATTTTTAAAAAAAAAAAAAAAAAAAAAAAGCTCCGTAACATCGTGAAAATGAATGGAGTGAATATTTACTTGGCATTCCACCTGAACTGTTTTTTGTTTTTGTTTGTTTGTTTGTTTGTCTACCTCCCACTTTCAAGCATATTTTTCAAGGGAAATTTTCTGGAAGTTTTATTTATTTTTTTAATAGGAAGGGAATAACGCTACCAATTGAGGTAAAAATTGAAATTTAACAATAATATTTTAACATGAATTTCCAAAATATTTTAATCCTTAGACAATTATGATAAAAGCAATTTCGAATGCTGAGCTTATTATCTTTTAATTTATTTGGAGGTGGATTTTTTTGATTGATTGAATCTTTTCAAATCCATTCATTTTGTTCATTTCATTCAAAAGTGGCTTCACTCTTTTTGGATCACTTTATTTGTAAATTAAGATCATTCATTTGAAGATGAGTCGCCATTTCCTTATTGTTTTTATTTGTTCAGATGTCTTTCACTCATTTCAATTATTTCTTAATTCAACAATGTGCCTTTGAAGATGGCGTAACTATTTTATATGATTTCTTTTTAATTCATTCATTTTATTCGAGCATAGTTCATTCGTTACTTGATCCAACTTGATTATAATTTTGCGAATTACCGGAGCCCGGTCAGATCCGTGAGCTGCCAGTAATCCGAGAATATTCTTGACAGTTTGAAAAACGGAATTTGATTTCCATAAATTGGCAACACTGCGATGGGCTTTTCTGTTTTCCACCTTTCTTACCATCTTTGTTTGCATTTGTGAACCCCTGCATGTTTCTTCCACAACACACCCGGACGTCTTTACTTCTAGAGAAACTTTGAGCCAGGGATATAGCGACACAACAAAATTCAGAGTTGAAATAAAATTGATTTAAAAAAGTAAGTCATTTTCTTTCCTTCGTGTATTCGTGTGTTCTGAAATTATTTTTTTTTTTTTCCCAAGAAGATAAATTGTAATTTTAAAAAAAAAAAAAAAAAAAAAAGCTCCGTAACATCGTGAAAATGAATGGAGTGAATATTTACTTGGCATTCCACCTGAACTGTTTTTTGTTTTTGTTTGTTTGTTTGTTTGTCTACCTCCCACTTTCAAGCATATTTTTCAAGGGAAATTTTCTGGAAGTTTTATTTATTTTTTTAATAGGAAGGGAATAACGCTACCAATTGAGGTAAAAATTGAAATTTAACAATAATATTTTAACATGAATTTCCAAAATATTTTAATCCTTAGACAATTATGATAAAAGCAATTTCGAATGCATAGTTTTTCAGTGGCAGTTTTTGGGAGGCATTTTTCAATTAAAAAAAAAAATCTATTAAATATTAATGTAAACATGTCAAATGACTCCTCCTACTTCACTCTTACGATTTTATTTTTCTTCTCTAGAGCTGATCCAGACAGAGATGCACCACGTGCGCACGTTGAAGATCCTCCGCCACGTCTACATGCACGAATTGCGGCAATCGCTGCTGCTGGACGACGACAAAGTGGGCACGCTGTTCCCCGGCGTGGACGCCCTGCTCGCCCTGCACCAGCACTTCCTCGACTGCCTCAAGGTGCGCCAAAGCCAGAGTCAACAGGAGGGCAGTCCCAACGGCTACCAGATCACCGAGCTGGGAGACATACTCATCGCACAGGTAGAACAGCAACAGTTCCCTCGGAATATCGAAGTACTTCTTTAGATAGCAGATACACAGAATAAATATACAATACATAGCAAATGTATGGATGACTGACCTTTTGCATTTGTGAACCCCTGCATGTTTCTTCCACAACACACCCGGACGTCTTTACTTCTAGAGAAACTTTGAGCCAGGGATATAGCGACGTTTTTTTTTTTTTGGTTCGTGCTAGTTTTCTGGCCTGGTGGGTGAAAAAATGAAGGAGTGGTACAGCATTTTCTGCAGCCATCAGACGGAAGCTGTCAGCTTCTACAAAGAGCAGCTGCAGAGCAACAAGAAGATTCAAAGCCTCATGAAGGTAGGTGAGACGCAAACTCTCGCCCGGCGCCGAAACCTGAGAGGCAGCGGCGTTCGTTTTCTGACGTCTCCGGACCGGGAGCCAACAGACGGATCGGTTGACTGCTGAAGTTCATGGAAAATAATTTTAAAGCGGGTATATCATGGACAATCATCTCTTCAGAACCTAGTCTGAAATGAGGCGACCAAGTCAGTCAGTTGTGATCGGACTATTTTAGAAAATACGTCTCCGATGCGAGCGATGCTGAACTTTGATGGCTCATGCAGCTCATTTACATCAATGAGTTCCTCCGCCCACGCTTTGGCACCTTGGCTGGGCGAAGGTACTGAGCCCCTTTTCAAACGATGACGGGACTACGCAGAACCACTGTCACGTCAAAACTAAAAGCTAAGAAGAGCTGCAGTGTTGGCACAGAGTATGGCCCACCCTTGACGTGAGCCGACTCCACATTGTCGGTGTGCCGTAGCGTACTTGGCATTTGTGCCACGGGAAAAGCTGCGCTATGGTTCAATTGCATGTGACAAGCTATTTGGGGGAAAGCATATTGTTGAAACATGTCCGTTCGTCAATGCAAAGTGACTTTCCAGACACTCTGGATATCGTCTGTTGAGTTTTCCCACGCCAATTTAATGTGTGGGTGTCTGCCACCAGAAAATTGGTCAGCTGGGACTGGTGAGAAGGTTGGGCATCCCCGAGTGTTTCCTCCTGGTGACCCAGCGCATCTCAAAGTACCCCGTCTTGGTGGAGCGACTGGTACAGAACACTGAAGGTACACATTGGATTGGAATTATTCTCTCATTTACAATTACATGTAAACACCCCCCCCCCCAAAAAAAAAAAAACAACCCTCAAGCTATTGTGCGCCTTTCAGTCGACACAGACGAGCACGAGTCTCTGCTCCAGGGCTTGGCGGCCATCAGGGACACCATCTCCCGGGTGAACGACAACATCAGGGAGTACGAGAAGACCTCCCGCCTCCGTGAGATCTGCGCGCGCCTGGAGCCCAAGTCGGGCGGCCGGATGAAAGACGGCCAGCTGATCCGTCGGGAGGAACTGATCCAGGGCGACCGCGCGCTGCTGCACGAAGGCCCGCTCGCCTGGAAGTCTTCCGGCAGACACAAAGGTTCCGTCACCCATCTCCGGCTTATTCTGATTCTTCACATTTCCAAAGGTTGCGGGCAGACGGCTCAGTACTATCCAACGTTATGCCTCCGGTGTTGTGATATGTGAAAGCGTTAAGCCCCGAGAGCCACTTGATCGGATTGCTCGATAGAAAAATATGGGGGGGTAAGGCTCTTTTTAACTGCTTGAGAAGTGAGGTGATGTCTGAAAAGTTTCAGACATCAAATAACAGAAGATTGATTCAATCCCTGGGCAGGCACTATTGGTGAAAGTTCCTTTGAAAAGTCCATCCTCCATGATATGTTCCCCTTTTTGTATTTGTTGTGCTTGTGAGAAGAGCTACGAGGAGGAGAAGATGTGCACAAGGGCGTCGTTTCATTGATGACGCTTGTCCATGGTTTGGCGAGGGAAATTGCACCAGGGTCGTATGAACTTTTGAGAAAATGCCTGCCAGATGTCTCACTCTGAGATTTCTTACACGAGATAACGCAAGTCTTTTCTTGAATGAATGCTATTCGAATATCCTTAAGACGAGGATTACCGTCCCAATGTCGAGATACTTTTAGCGTGCAGTACTGTAATAATAGCAGTAAGTTACTGGAGGTTTCATGTACCGCCTAAACCTGGCTGATTGCAACCACTGTGACGTGGCCTCTGCAGTTTGACGAGGCTCATGCATCAGGGCGCTTTGATCCAACCGGTCTTGCCACATAGTCGAATGTCGCTGCCCTCACGTCAAAGGTTTACTGACGGTCGCAAAAGCTTCCTATATCAGACCCCGGTCTAAGTGGAATCATCTCCGATTGGATTTTCCTCAGACGTCCATGCTGTGCTGCTGTCAGACGTGCTCCTGCTGTTGCAAGAGAAAGATCAGAAGTTGGTTTTCGCTGCTGTTGTGAGTGATGTGCGGGAGGGGAAAGCTTCGTTTTAAAATAGACACGCACACACACACACACACAGAGCCGCTATGTTATCACGCAGGATAATAAACCGCCAGTGCTCAGCCTTCAAAATCTGATCCTGAGGGAGGTGGCCCACGAGGACAAGGCCATGTTCCTCATCTGCGCGTGCACCGCCGCGCCGCAGGAGGTGTACGAGATGTACGAGCTGCACGCCGGCTCCAGGGAGGAGCGTGTCGCCTGGATGGGCCGCATACGGGACGCCATAAACCGGTCAGAACGCTTCTTCTTGTTCTTATTTCTCTTTTTCGCGGTGGCCGTTATTATCAGTCATCTGCTTAGTAGAGCAAATCCACAATTGCATAATAAAATGCACATTGCACGCGTCATGATATTTCAAGTCTCGACTAAGAGATGAAACAAATCGTTGCGGTTCCAGTTACTCGGCGGAGGACAAACACTTCCAGGAGCTGATGAGCAGATTGCAAGACTATCAAGGTCAGCATCCAGACACTTTGTGTGTTTCCAATCCGTACTATTTAAGAATGTTTTTTTTTAAATGGGTAGAGCGTTTGAAGGCGAAGGACGAGCGCATCAAGCTGTGCCTGTCCGAGAAGCTGCAGATTTTCAGCACCATGTATCAGGACATGACCGGCCAAGAGAGCCCCACGAAAGGGCTTCTGCTGCGAGGAGACCCCGCCGACCTCCAGCAGGGGGAGACGCTGCTCAAAGGAGCCATCCATGAAGGTCGGAGCAAATTCCAAATGTATCCGTCTTTGGTTCTGAGGCCGATGCTGATGCTGATGAGGTTCCTTTTGGTGTTTGTTGTACTTGTTTCTGCAGTGGAAAGCCTTCAAAATCTGCTCTTCCGCACAGCTAACATCCAGGAGGGCGATTATGTGTTAAAGTGGAGGTCGCACGGGAGGGCCGAGGCCTCGGGGCCGGTCGACGCTGACCCGTCTGCAAACACTCTCATGAGTAAGCTGCGTAGGACCAAACGGAATGATAAAACCAGCATGGAACTCCTGAACGTAACCACCGCAATGAATTCATGCAGAAATCCCTTCGGGTAAGGTGTTCTTCGTTGTTTTTGATTAGATCACACGTCTCCCGACGGAGACGTGCTTAACGGGCTCAGCGTTAAGGCCGACGACGCTCCGTCCCGAGAGACGACGCGCTTCCCCGAGAGCCACGAGCAGCCTGTGAGTGACACAAACGCAAACCTTAGGCCCGCGAACTGACGCGTCATCCGAAACCTTTTTTGCCGTCTCGTAAAGGCCACCAGCACCGCGTGGACGCATATTTGGGCTTCGGCCACCGGCGACTTCCGAGCCGAGGTGAGAAGCGGAGAGCTGAACGGTGTTTTCCATGAACATTCCCCCGGGGGCCACCCAGAGTTCACTGACGCTGCCCCAACCGGGCCAGTACAAATTTCAAAAATATATACCACGAAAGGAACGCGGTCTTGCTTTTTTAATACTCAATATTTGGACTTTTATCCACTTAAATCCATCAATCATGATACATCTTTTTTATGTTGCACGTCAGCTTAAATCTTTCTCTAAAGAATGGCTTGAACATGATTTCAAAAGCCCAGAAAATGTCAAATGCTAAATTAGATTTTATACTGTTGTGCTCAGTCAGACTTTATACTACAAGAAAGACAACATGCAAAAAAAAAAAAAAAAGATTTTCCTCAAGTTTTCAAGAATACAGTCAAAATTTCAAATAGTCAATGAAACATTTGTTGCGTGTTCTGAAAATCTGGGGCCAGTGCTTGTTCTGTCAGCGCCACCACCCCAAAGAAGCTTTCTATCGGATCCTGGCGGAATTTCTTGGCTGTGGAATGTGAAGCACCCTTGCGCTGTTGCTGCATTATTGGTGTTCAGATATGCATTGCTTCCAGGGTTCTAACTACCGAAACGTACTGCCTGTGCGCTAGTTTCGTTAGTCTGCCTGTTGGTTTTTGCACTTTGTGTTAGCATTAAGCTAGTGGAACTTTGATAAGTTATTCGAACGGGGACTGCCCACTCGTCGATGACATCATTTTCTTGTTGTCGCTACCGCTATCTGGCTCTCGTAACGGTGGCTCGGGGGGGAAGCAAAAACAAGCTCAACTCTCGAAAAACTCGAAAGTTGGGTCACTTGTCATTTGAGGTCCCATTGTAGGTCGCATTACGATCATTCCCTCTGCAGGTGTGTGAACGCGTCATACTGCTCGCCCAGAAGCTGTATGCATTACAAGTAAGTCGTGAGCCGCTTTCCCACCGCCGCGACGCAAATCACGTGCGCGAACGCCGGTTATCTTTCAACTCGCGTTCCTCGCAGGCCGTCGTGGCCCAGCAGGACAGTCGGATCGAGCTCCAGCACACGCTGCGTTCTCCCGGTCAAAGGCATTCACGGCCCTCCGGCAGCGCCTTGCTGGAACAGGAGAAGCAGCGCAATCTGGAGAAGCACAAGGAGGACCTGGCCAACCTGCACAAGCTGCAGGCGCAGCACCGCGAGGCGCAGCAACGCTGGGAGAAGGAGCGAGAGCGCCACAGCCTCTACATGGAGGCCCTGGAGTCCGAGCTGAGGCTGCGGGAGGACGAGTGCGCCCGGCGCGAAGTGAAGCTCAGCGAGGAGAAGGGCGAGTATGATCGGCAGTGGGAGAACTACCAGCAGGGTCTGGAGCGCCTCCGGGAGACCACCAAAGCCGTGGAGAGGGAAAAAGAAAGCCTGAATCAGGAGAAAGAACGTCTGGAGGACAAGCTGAAGAAGTACATGGAGGCCGTGAGTGCGGGCAACGCAAACTATGATGACTCGGTGAGTTGAACGCGGGCGGCGGCGGAGCGTCTCGTCTTGTAGTCATCCTTTCCAAAAATAACCGCATGTCAAAGTGGCTTCACGCTTTGAAACGCTTGTGTTGACATCTGCCGAGATGAGATTGTCCGAGTGACTTTTTCAATCGTAATGTACAAAAAAGCAAGATGAACAAGGCGCTGTCGAATTTTATGTTTGAAAATTCTCACGGCACACCAGCGAACACAAAGTCTTTGTGTTGAAATAGTGACGATCCGGGTGTCGATTTACTCTGGCCACAGCTGGATACACAGGTTCATTTCGACCTACTGCCATCTAGTGGAAGAGCCATCAATTGGCACGTAGGTTGCTGACATACGTACCTGGCGATGAACAAAGGTACATCAGTGGAAGAAAATAAAGAAATGAGATTTTCCAGACAGAAATGGTCTCATATTTAAAAAAATATAT